TTTTGGTGCCGGGGATTGAACTCAGGACCTTGTGCTTGCGAGGCAGGCGACGGAACCACTGAGCTAAATCCCCGGCCCCTGTATTATGTAATTGCAGATAGGATGGATCTTTATTCTAGGAATCCCCTTCCTCTTTGCCTGTTAACCTATACAAAAGCAAGTAGCCAAGTGAGATTTTTTTTCTTTGATTAAGGTTAGATTAATTTGCTCACTAGGTGGCACAAAACATGAGTAACTAAAAACTGGATAATGATAACTAGAAGTATGTATACACATACAAATAAATGGCACGTGTATTTTGCTTAGACTGATTATACTTAGGATATTTATCAGCACACAGTGGGTCCCAGAGACCTCCAAACACAGCTGTAATCAGTTGGCGAAATTTCAGGGAGTTACCAAATATTTTCTGGGCAATCTGATACTTTAACTTCATGTTCAATAAAATTTAAAAGACATGGGCTGGGGATTTAGCTCCGTGGTTTCGCCACCTGCTACGCAAGTTCAAAGACCCGAGTTCGATCCCCGGTACCAAAAAAATAAATAAATAAATAAAATAAAAATAAATAAAAGACATGTTGGGGCAATGGGCATATTCTTTATTGTATACTGCGTGGTTACACGGGTGTATACCTAGGTAAAAATTCATTGAGGTGTACACTTCAGATTTGTGCCTTTTACTGTATATAAATTGCACCTCCAAAATAAAAATATGATAAAAAACCAACCTCAAAGGACTAAAAACAAACAAAAGCCTGGATATGCAATTGAACTTTTAATAATTATAATTTCGGACTTGCTACAGTTTCTTAATTACTGATTCATACTTAACCAATGGTAGCATGAAACACTTTTTTCCTCTCGTGTTAATCTTTCAGTAAATCAAGTTAAAAGGATCAGTGATCTTTTTATAATGCGAGAAAGTCTTTCATTTAACCGTTTCCAGCTAAGATGGTGTAATAACTTTGTCCAGAATTTTGTATAACAACACGAGACAGTGTGTGTGTGGGATACATACTGAAAATTTTTCTTTCACTTCGCATTCCTCTGTGGCTTTATATTTTTATAGGCAAAAGAGTTCCGAACTAAATAACCTCTTCCTGAGATGCTAATGATCCTATTTTCTGTCTCATAGAGTCTCAAAATCCACCTTTCCCTCCAGGATGCCACTAGAGGGAAGTAAGGATTTGGATACGTTGTAAAAAAGATTTGATTTTACGTTTTCAACACTGCGTTATATTCTTTGACATTTCTTGACGTTTCGTCTCCTTTCAAGAAAAGTCCAAGGGCCGGGGATTTTGCTCAGTGGCACCGCGCCTGCCTCGCAAGCTCAAAGTCGTGAGTTCCATCCTCAGTACCCGCCCCCCCCGCCCCCCCTGCCCCCTCCGCCCCCTCTCCCCAAAGGCAGCATATCACTGGCAGTCAGTGAGTCATATGAAACAGAAATGAAGATATGATAAGTATTTGAGGCCGGAGATTCAGCTCAGTGGCACCGTGTCTGCCTCGCAAGCGCAAGGTCCAGAGTTCAATCCCCGGTACCAAAAAAAGAAAAAGGAAAAGTCCAACTACTGGGCTAATTTGTATTCCGCTGCGAGGCAAAGAACTGCATTTTGAAGACCGGAAAAAGGAGAAAAGGAGAGGACTACAACTCCCAGAATGCAGAGCTTCACCGTCTCGCAGGGCCCTCCTTCCAGCTGCCCAATGGTCAAGGGTCGCGAGCCATCTCTCTGCCCCATTGGTTAGCCTTCCTCCCATTGGTCAGCCTTCCGGTGCCCAGGGCCAAGCAGGGAGGAGAGAAATCTAACACTCCGGATGGCACATTTCCCGCCATTCCGAGGAACCGGGAAGAAAACTGCAAAACGAATCTCCTCATTGGGCACTCGCTATTTCGGCGTCAGAGAATTTATCCAGTAAGATTACATAGCTGCTCCCAGAGTCCCCGCCTCTTCCTCTTGGTACACTTTGGTGGCGGGAAAAAATTGGGAAGTTTTCGCGCTGGGAAGGAGGCACCCACCGGGCAGCAGGCATGGCAGGGACTGTGGTGCTGGACGACGTGGAGCTGCGAGAGGCTCAGAGAGATTACCTGGACTTCTTGGATGACGAGGTGAGGGGGCGCCGGGACGCGGGCTCGGGGCGGCAGTCTGCAACTCGGCGGAGGGAAGCCGCCCCGACCCCGCTCCCAGCCCTGCAGCCGGGCCGGCGTCCTGCAGGGGAGCCTTCCGCCCGATCGGCGAGCCTTCCGCCCTATCAGGCGACTTGCCCGTCTCGCGAAGGGGAGAGTCACTTGTGTGTGTTCAACAGGTGAACTTCCTGCCACTCGCTCTGCATACAAGTTGATGGCGGTGGCGCCCAGGGCGATAGGCCTTAGCAAGTGCCAACAGAAGGGCAAAGCCCGCCTCGCCTTTCGGCCCTTCCGGCCATGTCTGAACTACGGCAAGGTGGGCAGGACTGCAGTGCAGTCGTAGCTGTGGGCCACTTTGTAGAGTGCTTTCCTTGCTGTGACTGACAGACTGTTGGAGGAAAATGACTTCCTAATTTGGTTGCTTTTTTTCCTATACCAAATAAGATACAGGTAAAAAAAATATTTTTTTATATGGAGCTGAAAGGGGGTTTTGTGTGCAGCTCCGTATTTAAAGCTACAAAATGTTAATACAACATCTTGAAAATCTGATTGTAAATAAAAAGCAATTTTTATCTGAGTTTTAAGTTTGCTTAACGTACCTCTTTTATTATTGTATGTATTTGTGTATAACAGTGTTTTGGTGTATAGCAAAATGGCACTACAGGCAAGCAAGTCTTTCTCTTTTCATTAAGTTTACATTTTAGTACAGTTTTTACGAATTGTCCTTCTAGCCTTCTTATGAGCTCATTTTAATTTCCCACTAAATGTTGAGAAATGACAGTGAATAGAAAAGCTCTTGATAACAGAATAAGAACATGGACCATGAGGCAGCCATAATTCTTTACAGGCTCCTGAGGGTGTGGAGTCTGAGGCTAGTGATGAAAGTAAGAAATTGATGAATACCTACTTGGAATTCAGCTCTGCTGCAGAGATTGACTTACTTTATTGACTTATTTACCTGATTTGCTATGAGGTTTTTAAATTTGTGGCTGTTGTGATATACGGTGGCTGTTTTGCAGGAAGATCAGGGAATTTATCAGAGCAAAGTTCGAGACCTGATCAGTGACAACCAATACCGGCTGATTGTCAGTGTGAATGACCTACGCAGAAAAAATGAAAAGAGAGCAAACCGGTGAGTACTAAGGATTTGGCGGGTGGGGGGTATCCTGGCTCTTAAGTGAGAAGGCTTCAACTCCCTTTTGCTGACTGAAACAGACTTCCCAGGAAAGGTCACAGATGGCAGAGGGTTTACCTAGGAGGCCTCATTGCCTCACCTGCTTCTGCATTTTATTTTTATTTTTACTTTTTTTACTTCTAAAAAAGGACCTGGGCATTTCCCTCTGAAATGCCCTTCCAGTGTTTAATCAAATATTTTTACATCTTTGATAAGTTGATTTGGAGTTTGTCCTTAGTTCTGATGTATTTTACAGTCTTACAGGATTGCAGGAGAAAATAGGAGCTGGATTTTCTTTCCTTGACCGTAGTGATCTAAGAATGTTTACTTCTGTTTTGAGGGTTGCTGTTTTTTTGAGTTCTTCCTAATTATTCTTTCTTTTGCCCATTCACAGCCTTCTGAGCAATGCCTTTGAGGAGCTGGTTGCCTTCCAGCGGGCCTTAAAGGATTTTGTGGCCTCCATTGATGCTACCTATGCCAAGCAGTATGAGGAGTTCTATATAGGATTGGAGGGCAGCTTTGGCTCCAAGCATGTCTCTCCCCGGACTCTTACTTCCTGCTTCCTCAGCTGTGTAGTCTGTATGGAGGGCATTGTCACTAAATGTGAGTGGGGTAGACAGGGCACTAAGGAAATAGAAGTAGGATAGGCTTAAGGAGGCTGGGACTGCAGGAGAGGCAGAGTAGATCTGGATAGTTCGTGGCTTCAACGAGGTGGAGCATTGGAATTGTGTCATGAGACTTGGAGGAGCTCAGATGTGCACAATGATTAGGGAGGCTTTGAGTGAGTACTGTGAGCTGGCAGAATAATGAATTTGGCTCAGAGCTGTAGGAGTCTTAGCTCCTAGCAATCTCATTCCAGTACTGAACACCTCCTGTTTCTTAGTCAGGATCAAGGATACTTAACTTTTGCATGAGTTGAGGTGTTCTATATATAAATACAAGAATGAATGACGGATAGTATGGAAATAGCTTAACCTAGTTGGGAAAACAGTATTTGGAATCATCACTGGCTTGTGTGGGTTTGGAGGCCACCTCTGTCATTGTCTAGTTGGATGATTTTATATATACATTTTCCACTTCTAGGCTCTCTAGTTCGTCCCAAAGTTGTTCGCAGTGTCCACTATTGTCCTGCTACCAAGAAGACTATAGAGCGACGTTATTCTGATCTCACTAACCTGGTGGCCTTTCCATCCAGCTCTGTCTATCCTACCAAGGTAAAGGCTGTGAATTAGTTGCGCCTCCTTGGGGTTTGAAGTCACAGATACCTGTTGTGTCCTGTGTATTCCCCCCCTCACTCCAGTAGTGCTGGGAATCAAACCTAGGCAAGTACTCTGTCACTGAGCTATGTCCCCCAGCCCAAAGATGCCTATTTTAATGAAAGTAATTGTGTAGTATCTGAAGTCATCTGGAAGTATGTAGTGTGCAATGTAAGGATTAATTCAAAGGAAAGATTGATTATAAGCTCAAGTTTAATGTGAAAACTCTATAATTTTTCCTTTTAAAGAATTAGCCAGATGTGGTGTTCCATGCCTGTAATTCTAGCACTGGGGAGGAGCATCACCTTGAGTTCAAGGCCAGCCTGGGCTACATAGTGAATTCAAGGCCAGCTTGAACCACATAGTGAGACTCTGTCTCGAAAAACCAAATAAACAAGAAAGAATAAATATTTACTGTAGAAAATTTGAAATATTATGGAAAGATATGGGAAAGCAGTTATCTATATAGAATTTTTAGCAAAGTTATTATAATCAGATATAACTTACCTGCTTTTTAAAAGTAAAATGGGAGGTGTGCTCTATTAATGGTATTGTGTAATCTTTGCAAAAGTTTCACTGGACTTGGGAGAAGGCTGGCATAGAAGGGGCCTCAGACTGCTCGGATCTATCTGAATTGAGAGCAGTGCAAGGCTTTCTTCTTTAATGAGACAAAAGATCATTAAAATTGATTGCTTGATGTCTGAACTCATTCTGTCAAAGATACTCCCCATTCAAATTTTAATCGAGTGCCACTGTGTCCATAGTACAAGTACTCTTAGGGACCATGGGAAACAGGTATGATAAATAAGAGCTAGTTGTCAAGACTGCTTTCAAAGGGAAATCAGACTTACAAAGAATTAAAACAAGACTATCTTAGCATTATAACTGAAATATACTTCAGTTTCTTTTGTCTACCTCCAGATGAAATTGCGAAATTTAAGTGACTTGTTTTTGGTTCTAGTGAGTGATGACTCTTAAGAACTAAGACCCATGTGTCTTGAGGTCAGTTACATTTTCTTTTCTTTTCTTTTCTTTTTTTTTGAGACAGGCTCTTGCTGTGCAGTTCAGGCTGGCCTTGAACTCTTTGCAGCCCAGGCTGGTCTCGAACTTGGAATGATCTGTCTGCCTCAGCCTCCCCAGTGCTGGGATTACAGGTGTCTGCCACCACGCCCGGCTGCCAGTTACATTTTCTAAGTCACCCTGTTCTCTTTGTTATTTCTGCTTTTTACAATTTCTTCTTCAAGGAGTACTCTTCTGCTGATTTCTGTGGCAAGTTTCCTTGGTTGAGAGCAGACACACTAGGCTGTGTCTCCTGGAGATAATCTGCCTTAGAGCTGAAGATCCTGGACTTTGGAGTTTTCACTTGCATGAAGTCCTGGCCCAGCTACTTACTATGTGACCTTGGGAAACTTATTTAACCTCTTCCAGTCTGTTTCCTTGCCCATAAAATGTGGAAAATGCCTGCTTTCTAAGATTTTTTATAATATAATTACATGAGATAATTTTATAAAATAATAACAGTTCCTGGCACATAGCAAGTGTTCAGTAAATGATGGCTATTTTGCTTTTAAAACTTCAAATATCAAAGTGAAATTTCTTACAGAATTTAAGATACATATAAGCTGCTGTAATATAAGTATATAACTCGATGCATTTTTACAAGCTGAGTATATGTGTATAACCAGCATTCAGGCCAGGAAATGGGAATTTACTGAGTCAGAAGTCACAGGGCCGCACCATCACAATGGGTAACAGCACAGATTATTATATAGTATTTGTGTGGCTATACCACATTTATTTAACTATGAACTATTGATGACACAGATGCTTTAGATTTCTGCTTACAGTAAGTCCCTGACTTACAAATGAGTTCCATCTGGGGAGAACGTTTGTAAGTCGGATTCATTCATAAGTCCCAACAAAATGGGTCTTATATACCTTTGACACAGATATACAATGTAAAGCATAAAAGAAACCAAACTTGTACATTACTGCGTTTCCTCTTGCTTCCGGACATGCTGGGCTCTGATTGAGCGCTGTGCTACTGTACACTACTGCACTGTACAGTAAGCACACAGCATCACAACTGTGACAATGTCCGACAGACACGTGAACTACTTCCCTGATTTGTTCGCACCTGGGTAGCGCAAGGTGTGTTCATATCTGTGAAAGTTTGCAACTCGAGTGTTCCTTGTTGGGACTTAATGTATTAGGAATAGTGCTGCTCTGAGTGTTGCAGTGAATGGCTTTGCGTGAATATTTGTATTGAGTGTTACCAAGGGTGGAAAAACTGTCAAGAGTGTAACCATGTACTCACCACCTTTAGTAGGGGGTGTAAGAATCCTAATTTAAATATTAATACAGCTATGGTTCCATCTGAGTATGTGTTGTCCCTTCCATTGATAGTTACTGGGCCAGAGATAGGTAAGGAAGAAGCTGGGGAAGATACTTTTAAAAAATTTCTAGATACTAAAATTTCATGAAGTCATTGCTGAATTATGTTTCCTATACCAAATGAGTGGCATTTTTAAGACTAGATTAAAATAATAATTTTTCTGTGTGCCATTTTCTAGGATGAGGAGAACAACCCCCTTGAGACAGAATATGGCCTTTCTGTCTATAAAGACCACCAAACCATCACCATCCAGGAGATGCCAGAGAAGGCCCCAGCTGGTCAGCTGCCCCGCTCTGTGGATGTCATTCTGGATGATGACTTGGTGGATAAAGTGAAGCCTGGTGACCGAGTCCAGGTGGTGGGGACCTACCGTTGCCTTCCTGGAAAGAAAGGAGGTTATACCTCAGGGACCTTCAGGTAAGAGGACTGCTATGAAGGGTTTGGAATACTGGTGGCAGCTTCTGTTTCCGGTATTATTCTTCCTCCAGTTTGACATATTTCACAGAGCCTTGGCTGACAGGTAGAGTACCCTGGCATTTGGGGTGGGAAACCTCCCTGCCTCTTGTCTGTCAGGTAAAGCTATGTCACTTAAACCATCTTAGGCCCAGAGTAGGAGCTACTGGTGATACAATTATAGCCTCCTGGGACTTTCCTACTTATTCCCCAATCCTCCCCATTTATACTTCTGTCTGAATCTCTGAGTCAGCAGGGATAAATAAATTTCTGAGGTGGGGTCATCAACCTATTTGGGTCATGGACAGAGACTTAGTTGTCGAGTTCAGAACAGCCCCCCCCCCCGCCATTTGATGGTCTAGTTTCATAGCCTTAGATGGCTTACTGCTGCTGGAAGCACTAGCTACTGATTTTGGGAACTGAATGTTATAGCAGGCTTCCTCCTGCTCTCTTCTTTGTCCCAGGACTGTCCTGATTGCCTGTAATGTGAAGCAGATGAGCAAGGACATTCAGCCTTCATTCTCTGCTGAGGATATCGCCAAGATCAAGAAGTTCAGTAAAACTCGATCCAAGGTCTGGGCACCTTTTAGGGATTGGAGGGTGGGAGTGGATTTTCAAGAGTTTTGTTTGAGTGTATGGCTGTCTTTGTACTGAATCAGGAGGAAGGTCAGGGTTTTTTTTCCCTCTGAAGTATTTGTTGCTAGCTTCTTCCAGTTTTGTTCCAATCAGTAAATGAATGAATGTTCTTGCTATTTGGTCTGTAATGTTTCTGTTTAGCTACCTGCTGGACTCCTAAGTGAACCTAATGGAAATGTTAGGATAGGAGATACAATATCAGTGTAACCATGGAGTCTTATTTATTAATAAAGATAACAGCATTGTTACTTAAATTTAAAATGTTATGTTACTTTTGTTTCAGTTCTCCAACTGTTACTCTTTTTTTTCCCTGTAAAGGCAGGCTGTCTCCATTGAGAACTGAACAATATGTACGAATGTGTTGTAAAAGTTACTGGTAAAATGCGGTGTACATTCATATTAAGCCTAAAAAGTTTTGAATTTGGGAAAAATTCTTTTTTTCTTGAAGATTAAACTTCTAAACAAACTTTGGCATCTGAGTTACTTTTGTACATGCTTTGACATTGGTCTGCAAAAGTGATTTATAGCAGAAGCTTTAACCATTAAAAACAACATTTAAGGCCCAGGGATTTAGCTCAATGGTTCCAGCACCTGCCTTGCAAGCGGAAGGACCTGAGTTCAATCCCTGGTACCAAAAAAAAAAAACCCAGCATTTAAATTTATATATTTAACCATTTTCTTTAAACAGAAATGTAAAGCAGAGCTCTGGGAAACCACATTGGTGCTTACCAGGTACTTTACTCCACGGGTTCCTTCTCTTCTAGGATATTTTTGACCAGCTGGCCAGGTCATTGGCCCCCAGTATCCATGGGCATGACTATGTCAAGAAGGCGATCCTCTGCTTGCTGTTGGGAGGGGTGGAACGAGACCTTGAGAATGGCAGCCACATCCGTGGGGACATCAATATTCTTCTGATAGGTATGGTCTTGGGGATTTACTTTAGACTCTTTCTTGCTCTTAACAACGAAGAGTGGGGTTGTGAGGACCTGTAATATGTAAATTGTGTGTTCTGTACATGGTAGTGTTTTAGTCTCATCAGAGAGCAAAAGGCTAAAATGAGTCTTTTTAAAAATCAACCAGTTAGTATGTGTCTCTGTTGTGCCAAGACCTGTGCTGGACAAGCAGAATTTGGTGGGGTGGGAGAGAATTCCTAGAGAATCCTTGTTGTTCCCGTCCCACAGGAGACCCATCAGTTGCCAAGTCTCAGCTTCTGCGGTATGTGCTTTGCACAGCACCCCGAGCTATCCCCACCACTGGCCGGGGATCCTCTGGAGTGGGTCTGACGGCTGCTGTCACCACAGACCAGGAAACAGGTAAGGGTGTCTGAGTCCTTGGCAAAGGCCCAGTGTGGCATTGAGCAGATTCTTTGAATTGGTTTCAAATACTGGCTTGTGTTTGAGGGATACAGTTGAAAGGGCAGTTAAGCTAGATTATTCAGGACTGAGTACCTGAAATGGTGGGTGAATTATTCAAGAGTTTGGGTGACACTCATAAGAATATTTCCTAGAAAGTGATTTGAAAGAATTTCAAAGGAGGAAGCTCAGCAGTTTGGAAGTGCTGTAAAAATGAAGATTGGACTATTATGCACTAGAGGAAGGATTTAAAGACCAGTGAAAAGAGAAGTCTAGTTAAATATTGCCTGAGTGTGGGATGAAGAGACTCTATAAGAAAGTTTATGAGAGGCTAGCTTAGGAGTCAAAGTGAGACAAGAAGATACTGTTCCGATGAGAACTAAAAAGGTGACCCACCAGGTTTCCTGTAAGCCGTGAGCTGAAATTTCTTTAATGTATCTTTTTTGATGCTACGGTGAGAGGGACCTAGAAAGGAGATTGAAATCCCTACCCCCTGTCTTCTATAACCTATGCCATGCACAACTTTTGACCTCTTTTCTTCCCAGGGGAGCGTCGTCTCGAAGCAGGGGCCATGGTCCTGGCGGACAGAGGTGTGGTTTGCATCGATGAATTTGACAAGATGTCGGATATGGACCGTACAGCCATCCATGAGGTCATGGAGCAGGGTCGAGTGACTATTGCCAAGGCTGGCATCCATGCTCGGCTGAATGCCCGCTGCAGTGTTTTGGCAGCTGCCAACCCTGTCTATGGCAGGGTGAGTGGCATCAGGCCCTTAACTGTTGTCCTCGTCTTCATTTGAATTTGCTAAATAACTGAGCCGAGTTTATTCTAGGAGAATAAGAGGCTCAAGACTAAAAGAAATTCATTAACTTACTGTCTTTGGTTTGGAGCACTGGCTCCTGACCCATTCTTACACAGCAGACTTCTGGAGAGCTGTTTATAAATAACTTTTTTAGAAATACAAAAAAGAAGACAAAGTGATCTGTGGTCTCAGAATCCAAGGAAACTCTATTGCCATTAAATTCAAAGTACTACATGCACAGGACAGGAGAATATCTGAGCAAAACCAAGACATAATATGCAAATTAAAAGCCTTGTGTCTTCTTTCCTATCCCTTTTCTAAGAGATATAATCACGTTTGGAGGTTAAAAGAAACAAAAATTTAATTATGTACTGTACCAGCAAATACACTATCTGATTGATAAGAATTACCTCTTTATCTTTGTTTTTAGCATGGCTATGATATGCCTGGGTATAGTCTTTTATATTTAGTCTGCTTGGAATTTACTGAGTTTTGCCTTTCTTTTAAATGATTTTCCAGTATTCTGTTGTATAGACCAGTGATAGCGAACTTTTAATTATATTATTTATTTATTCATTTATTTTTGAGGCAGGGTCTTGCCATGTAGTTCAGGCTCAAACTCACTATCTAGCCCAGGCTGGCCTTGAACTTGCTGTGTTCCTCCTGTCTCAGCTTCCCAAGTGCTAGGGTTACAGGTGTGTGCCACAGTGCCCACAATGCCTGGATGTGGCGAACCTTTTAGAGACCAGGTGCCCAAACTGTTTACGATGTCATCGCCTGACTACTTCTTTCCAAGCATGCACATGGGCCCCGTGTGCACTGTTATCCGGTGCTCTGCTGCTGCGGCACTGCTGGGGTGACTTGGCTCGTTTGCCCACAGAGAGGGCTCTGCGTGCTGGCTACGGCACATATGCCGTAGGTTTGCCACCACTGGAATAGACCTGTAGTAACTTATTGAACTATTTTCTGTTTGATGGGTGTTTGTTCCCCAACCCCACACCAGGCTATTATGAATGAAGCTGTCATGAATATCCTTTTAGCTGTATTTTGTAATACTTTTGGAATCTATAGTCTGAATACCTAGCAATAGATAGAATTACTGGATTAAGTGTTACATGCATTTTTGTTTTGGCAAAGATTGACATTTCCCCTTTTTAAAGATTGCATCATAGGGCTGGGGATTTAGCTCAGTGGTTCTGTTGCCTGCCTTGAAGGCACAAGGTCCCAAGTTCAATTCCCAGTACCAAAAAACCCCCCAAAAAGATTACATCATAATACTTCCATTAACTAGTACTTACACATGCTTTAAATTTGTCACCGTCTTTCCTTCTGTCAGTAATGCAAGATAGATATTTTCATTTTATGGATGAGAACCTGGAGGCACAGATTATATAATTTGCTCAAGAGCCACAAACTAGAAAATGGCAGGGCTGGGATTTGACTCAGCTCAAGCGGTACCCTGGAGTATATCATCCCACAGTATATGGAACACTTACTTTGTGCCTCTTTAAACATACAGATATATGGTTCTTGGGCCAGAGTTTCTGAATCGAAATCTCTGGGTTGGAGGTTTTATTATCTATGATTTAGAAAGGCTATACTGTGTAGCCTGGGCTGAGAACCATAGGTTTTTAAATTAATGGTAATATATGTTTGACCCTGAAGAATGATTAAGAAAATGGTAGGATCTGAAATGTGGTCAAAATCATTCTTATTTCCCACAGGTTGTTAAAATGCTTCTGACTGAAGTGTATGTGAGTGGGTAGGCATCAGTCCAATAGGTTCAGAGTTGGGGCTGTGGATTTAGCTCAGTGGTTCCAGCACCTGCCTCGTAGGTGCACGGTCCCAAGTTTGATTGCCGGTACCAAAAAAACCAAAAACCAATAGGTCCAGAATTGAAAGATAAAGTGTATGTCCTTAAGTCCCACGGAGAAGCTTCCTAGATTGCTAAGACATAATCGCTTATAGGTCACTGGCTGTCTTAGTTGAGATTTATCCTCTCAGCAGGAAACTCCATAGATCCAGGTGACCTCCCAGCTAGCCCTATCTTTATGCCATGTAGTGGGGGAGGAATCATCTTTCAAAGTTGATCCCTCCTTGGAAATGAGAAGAGTAAAATCAAGCTTGGGAAGAATGAGGCTGAGTGTGATACCACACAAAGTCTGTGAGCAGCTCCTGCATGAGGAGGTGGGCTGCTGAGTTTGCCAGGTTACCTGGGCTTTAGCTAAAGAAAGGTTGCAAGTGGAAGAGAGATTTATGAATTTTTTTTTTTGGTGCCGGGGATCGAACTCTGGTCCTTGCACTTGCGCAGCAGGCGGCGAAACCACTGAGCTAAATCTCCAGCCCTATGAATTTTAATAGCTTTAAAATCCTTTAGTTTTTCAGTGCTTCTTGTCTGTTTTGTTCTTGATGATCTAACCTTCCATTCCTACTCTCAGAATGGATCAGACCTCGTTTTGTTTTCTTTCTGTTAATGTTACCTCCACTTTTTTCTTTCTTGTGTTCCCCAGTATGATCAGTATAAGACCCCAATGGAGAACATTGGACTTCAGGACTCACTGCTATCTCGATTTGACTTGCTCTTCATTATGCTGGATCAGATGGATCCTGAGCAGGATCGGGAGATCTCGGACCATGTCCTTAGGATGCACCGTTACAGAGCGCCCGGGGAGCAGGATGGCGATGGTGAGGCCAAGAGAAGAATAGTGCTATGGAAGGCCCCTAAACTGATAGCATTGTCCCAGGCCCAACCCAGGGGAAGGTGGTTCAGTGTCCTGGTTGATGTTGCAGTTGCCCTCGCTTGCCTACCCACCTCCCTTCCTTGCTCTTTGGAGGTTATTCCAAGGAGCACATTTGTTTTTGTGTTCTAGAATACCTTTGAGTATCTTCTGTGGGCCACTCAGTTCTACCTTCATTTGTCATTTCCATGAGTTTGTTTTCTTCTGGGTCCTTGCTTCGTGATTCTTGGTCTCTTTCCTTTGTGTGCTATAGAAGAAGCAGTTTTCCTTAGGTTAAACTCTCTTCCTCTCTTTTCTCCTGTCTTGGGTTTACCAGCTATGCCCTTGGGTAGTGCTGTTGATATCCTGGCCACAGATGATCCCAACTTTAACCAGGACGAGCAGCAGGAGACTCAGATTTATGAGAAGCATGACAACCTTCTGCATGGGACCAAGAAGAAAAAGTGAGAATTCCTTGTATCTCTCAGTGGAGGGAACCTGAGATGAACACACATATGTCTGAGTCTAGTCAGAGTATTATATGCTCAGGCCAAGGGCATGAGTGGAGTCCAAACCATGTGGGCCTGTTTTCTGGGTCCACAGATACACCAGTTCTGTGTATCCTGGCCAATTCTTGGTGGGGGATTTAGTCCACAATCAGATGTTCTAAGGTTTTGGTGACATGCCCATTGGCGGGTGTGTGGTATCTCCCTTATACATGTCATATCATTGTGATGAATTTATGATGAAGGCAGTGGAGACTTTGCAAGTAGATTTGGTTGAAGGAGACGTGATCTAATGCTCAAAGCTTGAAATGTGTGCCTCTGTTTTTGGCCATGATGCAGTAAGAAGCACAGCATAATCTCCAAAGCTGTTTGGTTTCACTACACAGAATTTGGAGTCAGAAAACTGAATCTGAGTCCTCATTGGCTTCCCTGAGTCATAGATTTCCTACTTATAAAATAAGAGAGAAGGGCCGGGGATTTAGCTCAGTGGTGCCAGCTCCTGCCTCACAAGCACAAGATCCCGAGTTCGATCCCCAGCACCAAAAAAAAGAACTAAAAAAAAAAAAGAGAGATAAGATTTACACTCTACTTCCTACCTAAAGTAACTTAATATAAATAATGTGAAAGAGCCTTGTGTGTGTTCCATATAAATGATATTTATGATAATGGGTTCTACGTGGCAGGCATCTCTTTTCTGCTGCTTGGTCTTGACTTCTCTGAGGAGAGGCAAAGCCACTATCCCAGGTAGTGGTAAGGTGTGGCAGGGAAATGGAACTCACTGTGTATGGGTCCAGGGAGAAGATGGTGAGCGCAGCATTCATGAAGAAGTACATCCACGTGGCCAAAATCATCAAGCCCTCCCTCACACAGGAGTCAGCTTCCTACATTGCAGAAGAGTACTCACGCCTGCGCAGCCAGGACAGCATGAGCTCGGACACTGCCAGGGTGAGTGCCCAAGGGCAGCATGGCCTTGGGAGGCCCTTATCCACGTGGTTGGGGCAGGAATCCCTGTTATCTGGAGCTTTGGAAGTATTTAATTTTGTTACTCCTTCTTGGTCTGAAGGGTTCCGGTTGATACAATTTTGATCATTTTGTTCTACAAAGGAAAATGAAATAAGGACTCCAGAGTAACATGGGTATCATTGAGCAAATGAGTGACTTCTGGGAACTGTTCTAGTCTCTCATCTAGGGTGAAAATAACAGCAGCTATCCTCAAGGAGCTCAGATTTGAGTTGAGGGGAAGGGAGAAAGGTAGGTAGGAAAATCACAAATACATATTTATAAATATATATGCCAGTGTGATTCTTGTAAAGGAATGAGTGAATGTGAGTGCAGATGAAGATAACTGATTTTTCCTATATAAGTCCCTGGTTGGGAGGATATGAATGTCCCGAAGGAGTGCCGGAGTGTACAATGTTTGGTCTGGACTTTTGACAGATAACTAGGAGTTAAGTGACCATGATGGTTACTCAAAGCAGTTTCTACTGAGCTAATTTACCTGCCCTTGAATTTATCTAAATCATTTGGGAGCGTTGCAGTTCTTACAGGATTTCACAGTAGAAAGACCCAAGTTCAATAGGCTCTTAGATTTAGACATAATCTCAGGCGATCTACCCAGCCTCACACCTATTGTGTGTTCTGGTATTCCTGCTAGGAACACTCCAGGGACAGCATGGTCAGAACACTGTTGGAATCTGAGAGTAAGCTTTTAGATAAAGCTGCTTTCCCACAACTGCTATGCCTGGGTGCCACTTGTCTTCTTCATGTTAAGTAGCACCCTTTGTTTTTAACTGTCTCTCCCCACACATGAACGGTTCCAGTGTGAAAAAAGATGTTTCACTAAACCGAGAACTGAGCTTAGTAGTAAATCCCTTGATTTGGATTCTCTGGTTCCACTAGTTTAGGATAGGATTTCACTGGGTTTTCAGGTGATTCAGAGAGTGGAACCTGTAATGGCGTATGTAACCTTCAAACTCTGTTAGCTTTTGAAATTATTGAAAGATCTGGGGAGTGTACAGTATTTAAATGTCAGTTTTTTTTTTTTTTTAATGTTGGTTTGGATATTAATAGACATTTAGAAAACTTGGAAGTCGAAGTGAAGAGGATATATCATTGAAGTGTTACATATGGGAGATGGGGAGGCATGATGGAAAGAACCTACCCTGTGTTTGATCCCAAGCCAGCAACTAACTTTTGAACCTTGTACTAATTCTTTCACTGCAGGTCAGTTTCCTTATTCATAAAATTAGGTTAGATAATATCAGGATATATCAGGATTAACTGAAACTTATAAAATACAAAGCCAAGTCATAAATATAGAGATTATGATTTACTAGGCAAGGATCCCATTCAGACAATAGCATTTGAAGAAGAAAAGCACCCTAGTTTGGTGTACACCCACCTCATAAGAACCACTTTCTCTCTGGACTTCAGTGATTATATCCAATTTGTAAAAAGGTGTCCTCAAATTACCTCTCATGCCCCACCCCTTAGTATGACCTTGGACAAATTACATGATGCTCTTGAATATCCCTCATCTGTAAAACTTCTCTAAGTTATTAAGAGGGTGAAATATTAGTGTGAATATTAAAGCAAACTGGCACATTGGAGGCCTGCAAGGAGTTTTATCCTGTCACTTTTGTATGATTTTTAGCCTTTTATCTTTCCAGCTGTTAGTTGCCCAATTTTCTCCTCCCTTGTTCATCTGCTCTTCCCTCCCTGAGCACTCCCACGTACATTTCGTCCATCAGTTTTCTTACTCTTTGAATTTTAAACAGTATCTCTAGAGAATAGAGAGCTCTGAATTCTTTGCTTCGCTCCTGGAGCTTTTCTGGTAGTGTCTTCATTTGCCTTTCTCTGCAGTAGGAATAGTGGGCTTGGCCCAAGAATTCTGTATAAATAATCTTCCTTTGTTCTCCCCAGACATCTCCAGTTACAGCGCGGACACTGGAGACTCTGATTCGATTGGCCACGGCCCATGCAAAGGCTCGAATGAGCAAGACTGTGGACCTGCAGGATGCAGAGGAGGCCGTGGAGCTGGTCCAGTATGCTTACTTCAAGAAGGTGAGGACTCAGATGCCTGGGTGTGAGAGGCTCTTTTTATTAAGTCGCAGGGTGTGCTGGCTTCTCAGCTGACATCTGCATTCGGATTTTCAGCAGAAGGTAGTATCTATGGGGCTAGGGATGTGGCTCAGTGGTAAAGAGCTTGTTTACCTAGCATATATGACGCCTGGAGTTCAGTCCTTAGCACTACACAACAAACAAAGCAGAAAGTTGCATTTGCCTGCCAGTGTTCAGTTTGCCTCGCTCCTGCCTCTAAACATGCAATGGTTCTCAGCCTTGGGTGCACCTGAGACTGAAGTCCAGAGAGACAGAGGTTCTCATGAAATGGGTGTACACCAAATCAGGTGCTTTTCTTTCTAAAATGCTATTGTTTGAATGGGATCCTTGCCCTAGTAAATCATAATCTCTATATTTACAACAGGGCTTGTGTACTTTGTAAGTTTCAGTTAATCCTGATATACCCTGATACTATCTAACCTAAAATACTGATGGCAGGACTCTAGAGATTCTGGTTTAATTGATGTGCCACACATTCAGTCAGCTGCTTCTGTGTCTGGCCTGCTTCCTTTGCATCTTTAAAAAATTTGTGTTTCCAGAGTAATTACCTTGATAATCATCCTCTTCCCTGTGTGTCTTTCCCTGGGCAGTCTCCTCCACTGTCCCACTGGCACCTCACACACTGATGTCAAAAAGAACTTCACAACTTCCTCTCCTTCTCTTCCCTGATTTCTATTTGTGACATTGCATCTGTCATTTTAGAGCCCACAGATCTTGATGCGTTGACTCCCTTTTCTTCATTGCTCACCCCTCCCCCTAGTTGATAATTTGTAGCTCTTGGGGATTTAGTTGTGGACGTGATAAGCTTTTCCTCTTTTGGAGTTGTCCTAAACTTCAATTAAACACCTGGTTTATAAAGAAATGAATTGTTTCCACCTTACCATTATGATTCGGACACCTCATTTGTTTCTTTACTTGGTAAACATTTATTGAGTACTGGACTGTGTGAAAGGCCTCCTACCATTTTTTAACATGTTCAGGATAAGGCCATAATTAGGGTCTCACTACTATGATTATCCCATTGGGCAGCTATTTATTAATTTTATTTGTAAAAAGACCAATAAAAAGTGAGTAGAGTAGATCCGCCTGTATCACCAGTGATGTGATACAAGCCACTGATGGGATAGTCATGCATGTACCACTGGTGGTTCAAGCTGGAGGAATGTGTTAAAGATGCCTCTCAGGCTCTCCTGTTGCTCCTGGTCCTGGAATTTGGGGACAGAAAGGCTAGGGAGGTCACTAGAAATGTGGCAGTCATTTCTGCTGGGTGTAAAGGGGACTCTTATTCAGATTTCTTAATTCAGTTCCCTGCCATCTTTGACCCTCCCAGCTCTCACATTTGCCTTGGTTTTAGGTTCTGGAAAAGGAGAAGAAACGTAAGAAGCGAAGTGAGGATGAATCAGAGACAGAGGATGAAGAAGAGAAAAGCCAGGAGGACCATGAGCAGAAGAGGAAAAGGTGAGGTGGGGCAAGGGGAAGTAAGATGAAAGACTACTGCTGGGGCTTGGAAAGGGGTGGAAGATGTGTCTGGTGCTGCTTGTTGACATCAGGTTCTTCAGGCACCTGCAGGGTTTGAGGATGAAGATAACCCGAGCAAAGGAAGGAGGGAATGAGCCCCTTGTTGCATTTAGTATGATGCTTTGGATCTCATTTCCTACTTTCAAGACATGCTGAATAGCAGGAGCAGTAATCTACTCACTGAAGATTTTGAATAATATATTTCAAAATTCATGAGATTATTTTTTTTCCCTTGTGCCTATGACTGAATTTATAAGAATGGGTGATAGGGAAAAAGAGTCACGGGTGTAGGCCTATTTGCATTCATCCTAATCTGGAGAATGTCTTTCAGAAAAAGTGGCAGTTTGTACAGGCCTAAGTCTGGTGTTTCACTTTGATTGTAGATGGTTTCTTGCCCCCCCCCCCTTTTTTTTTGGTACTGGGGATCGAACTTGGGTCCTTCTGCTTTCAAGGCAGGTGGTGGAACCACTGAGCTAAATCCCTGGCTTCTTGCCCTTTTCGTGGAGGTCAGAGATACAGGGTGGTCCTCCCCAAAGCCTTTTTTTCTTAGCTGCTGTGTGGGTATTTTAGGAGGAGGACTCGTCAGTCGGATGCCAAGGATGGGGACTCCTATGACCCCTATGACTTCAGTGACACAGAGGAGGAAATGCCTCAAGGTGAGCAAGAGTCCCCCAACTGATCAAAGAGGTTGTTACTCTGACTCCTGATATTTTCAGTTGCTCTATGCTCTGTATTTTCCTGTTTGGATCCCTGTTTAGAAACTTGTGTCTAAGAGGCTTGTTCCAAGTGAACTTCAGGGAAAACTCACAGTGAAAACTTTGGAAAACAGGCTTTGTTCATTGTTTGCCTCCTTCTGGATAAACTGCAGTCTTCTGCAAAGCCTAAATATAAGAACCCTTATGTTGAGGATCTCTTACCTCACTGAATCTCTTTGTCATTCCAATGGGGATTTCTCTTTCTTAATTGTTGTACATGGCCCTATAAGAATCACTGCAAGTAGGAGTGTTCACGTGTTCAGTGAGGGGTGGGGAGTGGAGAAGATGACTTTCCTGGTGTTACTGGAAATGGCTTGACCTTGCCATCTTCCCCATTTCTGCAACCTTTAACCCTCTGAAGTGCATACCCCGAAGACTGCAGACTCTCAGGAGACCTTAAAGACTGCAGAATCACAGGAGACCCAGGAATCTCAGAAGGTGGAGCTGAGGGAGTCCAGGTGAGTTGGGGAAGTTGCTTCTGTACTTTGTCAGTTCCAGCCAAGGTGAGGACTGGCCCCAGGGTGAGGGTGTGCAGCACCCACAGAGCTCAAGACTAAAGGCCCTAGGGCAGCCAGTGGTGGCGAACCCAAGGCCCATGTGCTGTAGCCATACTGCAGCTGGCTGTAATCATGGAAAGCTCTGAAAGGTTCAACATCACTGCGCTAGGATTTTAAAACATTTTATACTCTGACTATACTGTCAGATTACAGGAAAGTTGCAAGGATAGTAGAAAGAAATCCTTATAGATTTTACCCAGAATTTCTGTCTTCTGCATTTTACCATCTCCTTGTGGGGTCAGGAAGAAGACTCAGCAAGGTCAAAATTTCTATCGTCTTCCTATATAACCTTGGATCCTTCTCATAAAATAGATTTTTTTCTTACAAATTCTGGCTTTTGTTTTGAGATGAAGAATTTTTACTAAAGTTTCAGAAAACGGTTTTTTCTGTCTGTAAGGAAAACCTCCCTAGCCAAGGTTAACCTTGTCTGTCCTTTCTCCTGTTGTGGGCAGGTTGAAGGCCTTCAAGGTAGCCCTCCTGGACGTGTTCCGGGAAGCTCATGCACAGTCCGTGGGCCTGGCTCACCTCACGGAATCTGTCAACCAGGACAAGGAAGAGCCCTTCTCTGCAGAGGAGATCCAGGCTGCACTGGACAAGATGCAGGATGCCAACCAGGTCATGGTGTCTGAGGGCATCGTCTTCCTTATCTGAAGTCTCATCTCTGAACGCTTTCCCTTCCCCACCCTTGTCTTTGCCTTCATTCCCCAAACATCCGTGTGTGAGAAGCACAAGGTGATGAAGATGGATTGGGACTTGCTGGCAGCTTTGAGAATGGGTGATGATAGCTGTCATCGGGTAGGGTGAGCAGGAAGTGGGGAAGGACTCTGCATCTTCATGGAAGAAGGACTGGGTCACACACCCGCTTCCATCCCCAAACAGACCCAGTGTTATTTTGTGTAAATGTGACTTTTTTTTTTTGTATTAAATTCTTTTATTGGTACATTGTAGGTATACAACACACTTACATTTCTCCTTGGGAATTGTACCTTTACATAATGCATCTTGGTTCTTATTTTTTCCCCATCCCTAGCCCTCCCTTAACACCCTCCACCCTTCCCTATTTACAAAGACTTTATTTCCATTTTTTCCATTTCTCAGCATTTTTCCTTTCCCTTCTTTCCTTTCCCCTGCCCCTCCCACTACCCCTACCCCTTTGGACCTTTTCTTCCTATTTTGCATTATCGATTACTCATTCTAATCATTGCTACATTTTAGGTATACAATATAATGACATTCATCATTGGAAATTTGCACCTTTACATAGTCTCTCTTGGTTCTTATTTTTCACCCTTGCCCAGTCCTCCCTTCAACCCCTCCAGTCCTCCCTATTTACAAAGATTTTGGTCCTATTTTTCCATTTTCTCATATTAATCCCATTCCCTTCTATCCTTTCCCCTAGCCCTCCCACTTCCTCCCCCTTTGCCCCTTTTCTTCCTATTTCACATTACCTATTATACATTTAGTCCTTATTGTGTAAATGTGACTTTTGAGTATGTTTGTGGGCACAGAGGGTTTCTGTTTATCTTTTCTGGTTTTTGGCTTTTTTAATTCTCTTGAGCACTTTGGTCTGGAAAAGGCTTTGAGCTGTTCTGTGCTGGTAGTGGCACTGAGGCAGGCTATGCAGGCCAAGAAAGCTTTCTTTGCAGATTAATGTATGTTTTTGACCTGAATATTTAGGGCACTGAATAAATGGAACTGCTTTGTACACTATGCCTTAATACTTTATGCTTTTTATGTACACATTTAGTTTTGTTTTTCTGGGGAGCTCTGCCTCCTGGATTTGCTGCTACTGTATTTGTACTATGCGACCACAAGGTGGCAGCAGCCTGCTGTGATTTCTTTGGGGATTATGTGTTTTAGCCCTCAGCAGCATCAGCACTTACCACTGATTGAACAAACCAAACCCTGCTGATTTTGAATAGTTACATGACCACAGGAGGCTAGTGAGTGAAAGTCCAGAAGAAAAACTGACTGGCTTTTCTGAGCCTGCATTAAAACCCCAATGTAGAAAAATGATGTGTTTTGTCACATACACTCAAAATCATGAGTTCTTACCCACAAAGAAATCCCCCTATGAGATGCTTTAGGATACCTAGTGTCCAGCCTTTGGGGTTTATTAGCCTTTTGGACAGATGTTTGTGGAAGTGCCAGAACAAGACTTCTCTACTACTGTTGTGTGGTTTGCACAGCTTCCAAAGAACTTCTAAGGTTACTTACAAAATAAAAATTTAAAAATGGGTGACTTTATGGGGGCCTGGGTCACATGATTGGAGGCCATTGCCTGGGGGGCGGATGTGGTTGAGAAGTGCTTGCTCTCGGCTGTAAGATTGTTGAGGTACTTTCTTATCCCTTTTTGCTGGGCCTAGCCCTTTAACCTGAAACCACAAAGCAGAAGGTTTTCTTTGCCTTTTTGTGACAAGAGTATTTTTTTTTTAAAGGGAGGATGAGATTATTGGGGAGTTCAGTTTCATCTTGGTGATTTTTTTTTTTTTTCCCAGATGTGAAGTCCAAGTCCTGTTCAGGGTAATCTAGAATACAATTTCAAAGGAGGGGGCCATAGTCCTGGGAGGAGGAATTGGACCTTGAATCTGGCAGTGAGTCAGAGTGGTGCAAGGTCTAGCAGTGGAGCCACAGTAGGACTTACAGCTTATAGCCACTTACAGTGAGTTAGGGACATGCATGTGTAATATGTGAGCATAAAATAAGTCTGTTACATACCAAATGAGGGCACATACAATAACAGGAATTGAGGGATACTGTATCAGGAGGAGGGTTGCTACTTACAGGATACAACTGTGAAAAAAGGCTAGGGCTTTAGGGGTATCCACACATGATCTGTTCCAAAAGAGATTCTTTATCCTTTGCCTTGGAGGAAATAGGCACAAAGGGGAAAATAAGTGTACCCATCATTTTGGCAATTACAGGTGTCTTAGTCACTTTCTTCTCACTGGGGAAAAATATCTGACATCTACAACTTAACGCAGGAGAAGTTTATTTTGGCCTTCACTTTTTAAAGGTTTCAATCCTAGTCTTCAGGAAGGGTCTGGGTGGAGAAAAGCTGTCATGTCTCAGCTGCCAGGAAGTAGAAGGGAGGAGCCCGGAAGGGAAAGGCACCCTTCCTGGTCACACCCAGAGTGACCCCCATCTTCCAACGAGACCCCACCCCCACCAGCACCTTTAGCCCTGGACTTGTCAGTGGATTAATCTGAGCCTACTATGAGTAGAGCAGCCTCATTATTCAGCCACCTTCCAAAAGCCCCATCTCTGAACACATGAGGCTTACGGGGCATCTAAACCATAGCGCAGGTCTACCTTGTTGACCATTTCCGCCCTCTTCCATCTAGCCAAAGAATAAAGATAGTATATTCAGCTCTCATAATTGATGTTATTTTGTTTTTTTCTGTTTTGGTTATTTGTGGTGCTGAGGATCAATCCCAGGGCCTTGTGAATGCTAGGCAGATGCTCCACTGCAGAGCTACATCCCAACCACACAATAGTAGGTGTTAATTGTATTAAAATAACTTGATTCAGTTGGGGATTTAGCTCAGCGGCACCTCGCCTGCCTCACAAGCACCAGGTCCTAAGTTTGATCTCCAGTACCAAAAAGGAAAAAAAAACAAACTTAATTCAGAAACTCAGTGAATATGTATATTATATTAGTTCTAAGGAATTGCATGTGTAGTGCCCCAACTTGAAGCAACATGAAAGAAGTTGGTAATTGTCAAGTGGCTCTCTGCAGGACCTGGCTTAGGGACCTAAATGAGCAATTCAGGCAGGTGCTCAGCCCACAGGCCAGTGCCACACACTGACCCAAGTTGGTCAGAAAAAAATACTCTTTGCTACATGCTTCATTCCAAAGGGGAAGTTTGCTAAGAAGTAGGTGTACCATCCGAAGTAGTGAAAAAGTGATTTGTGGGGCTTAGAGGAATAAGTTTTTCTGTCTTGAAAAATCATGGTACCTTATTCCTTAACTCTCCTGGACAAATGAAGTGTCAGCATGAAAAAATAGTTTTCAAAATAGTCTATTTGGTGAGAGTTGCTAGATTGTCAGTCTCTGTCACTTACCAAGTAATGTCTGGTGAAACTTGAGCTGCTCTTAATTTCAGGGTTAAAATAATCACTGCCTTGCAGGATGTGTCTTGAGATGAGATCTGAACAGGAGAGCAGGTAGCAAGTGCCTACCTCACATGTAACTACTCCATGGTAGCAGTATTACTGCTCCAATTCCCAGGGCCCGCTATGATAAAAGCATTCGTTTTGGTAAGAATTTCAGACAAAATGCTTTCATCAAACAAGTAGGGGATAGAGGCTCAGTGGTAGGGTGCTTACTTGGCATGCCCAGGGCCCTGGGGTCAGTCCCCAGCATTCCCCTCTAGAATCTAAAAAAACTAAAACAACTGATTTTGCCCTGTGGTGCATTAACTGATGGTTAACTTGGAACTTCCCAGCTGAACTTAATCCCTGTGGTCTGGGCGTGGAAGACCCACCTGAGCATTGTTGCCAATGGCATGAAATGAGAACAGGAGGGGAAGATTGTTGGCTGTTGATTTTCTGGAAGCTTGCCACAGCTGGTTTTCCTGATGTGAACTTGGCCGTTGTTGTTGAAGGAGCTTGGGGCCTCACTGTCTCTGGGAAGGGCTGCTGTTCTCAAGGGAGTCCTGATCTTCGCCTTGAGCATCATTTCCTGGCCCCAATGCAGATCCCTCAGCCTGGTGGCACAAATCCTTCACCCTGCAGGCGCAGGCTTTCTAGCTTCCACCACTGGCCCTTGGGCCTTCCCGGTGTAGATCCTCCATACGGACAAGCATGAGACATTGCTGTGGGCTCTAGGCCATTGGCTGGATTCGTGGAGGACATTGCCTTGGACTCCAGGCCTTCAGCTGGACTTGTGCAGGACACTGCTGTGGGGTCCAGGCCCTTGGCTGGATCTTTTGGATCTCTGGTGTGTCGATAGATCTCTTGCACTCTGCATTTGACTTTCTGGGTGAATATTATAAAATAATCCTACAAATTATGTGTCCTGTATTAAATCTATTCCCTTGCAAACCCTGACTACAACACATCCTTGCCCTTGTGGTATCCCTGACCTCTTCTCTCTCCTGGCTTTCTCCTCCTTGATGGCACCTGTCCTCCAGTCAGTGTGGCTTGTACTCAAGTACTTCTCATAGGGAAGACCATTACCTAAACCTTGTGTCAGCAGATTCTTCAGCTTTCCTACAATAGCTTTATAAGGTAGAGTCATTCAGAAAACATGGAGAAAGCAGAGCAACTTACAGAAACTAAAGAATCAGCTGGTTATTGTCTTCTCATTTCTCCTGAGTGTCCAAACTAAACCTGCTGTCTGAAAAGATCCCAGACTTCTTGAGGTGAGGTCTGTCCAGAGGGTTTGCTCAGTGGGGTAAGGCTGACTGCCTCGAGATACTCAGTACCAGGAACAGCTCTGTGTTGAGTTTACCCCCTCCTTGCCATCCTCTCCCCTCTCGAGAGCCAGGTAGCACCACTTCTTTCTGGAAGGGGAAGGTGGAACAGTTTGCACAGGCTGCAGAGGAAACGCACCAGAGAGCCCACAGCTGGCAAACGGTAATGAGCCCTGCGCTAGTGCCTTCAGGTTCTTTTTCCGGCGCTGTGTCACCGAGTTCCGTGCCCAGCGAGGTCAGCCACATCCTGAGGGAAGTGCATGGTTTCTTTGTCTGGAAAGTGAGTGGTTGAACTGGGTGGTCTCTGAGGTCCCTCTGGGAATTACACGTATGACTCAATGCCTACTGTCACTTCTACTCACAAGGCGCGTTAGTCCTGCCACCACTATAAACCTGAGTCAGGCTGTGCAGGTCAGAATGGGTCTTTTTTTCTTGTTAGTCATCCCTCCTTATCCTCAGAGGATGCCCAAGTATTTGCATATAACTGACACACATCCTCCCGTATACTTTGTTGTATAAATTATTCATAATACCTAGTAGAATGTAAATGCTATGTAAATGATTGTTACACTGTATCATTTAGGAAATGATAAGAAAAAGGATTTTTCCATTCATCGCAAGGGATTTTACTTA